ACCTTCTTGCATGTCATGGACCAAATTGATCCTGGCGTAGCACCTTTAACTTCAGCAGAGTGAAACCAGAGATGAATCTGCTCTCCATCCTGTCAGTCACAACTGCTGATCTCATTTGCAAAAGCAAGTGTTACTTCTGGTAGTCCATCAGGAGTTGATACAGCTCTGGGAAGCTCTGGGAGCTGGGTTCTGTTCTACCTCACCCTGCACATTCGGTTCCAGCTGCAGCTTCCTGGTTATCAATAGAGATGTAAGAAGCAAGACAAGTCAAGCTGGATTGTTCAGTTCAGTGGGGTTTTGTAGAGCTTTTAGCGTTGAATCAGGGCACTTGTGATGTGGATTCACTGAGTGAGACTTGGTCCTCCATACAGCAGAGAAAGAAATGCTAATGTTTTGTGTGATGTTCTTTAGCTGTTGGTTTTTCTAAAGATATTTCCCAAACGTTTTTGTTCATTTCTTTTTCAATGAATAACCAAATCCAAAAACTGAAATTTTGTGTGGGAGCTTTGAAATCCAAATATTTGATTTTTCTTTTTCTCCCAGAAGACAAAAAAATATTTTAAAAATGTTTGGTTTACATTCTCTCTTTAAGATGACCAGACTGAAAACTTGCAACCAAATGAAAATTTATTATTTTGTAAAAAACACAAATTCATTTATTTTCCAAAAATGTAAAATTTTTCAGTTAAAAATTTGCTTACTCTTTTAGTGGGCACATTAAAGACTAAAGAGGCACATTTTAAAGAGGCACATTTTGACTAAAATGAAAATTTTCCATAAAAATGTTTCTTTGGACAGCAAAACCATTTCTCTTTTTAAAAACATATTTAGATAAAAATATTTGACCCCATTTTAGTCCTGCATCATCATTATTACAGAATGGCATCTCATAAAAAAGGGGGGAAATCATTTGTGATAGAGCCAATAAATAGATATCAGAGTAGCAGCCGTGTTAGTCTGTATCCGCAAAAAGAAAAGGAGTACTTGTAGCTCACGAAAGCTTATGCTCAAATACATTGTTAGTCTCTAAGGTGCCACAAGTCTGCCTTTTCTTTTTAACAAATAGGTAGTCGCTAACTTTTTTCCTTATCACAAAAATTGGACCAAATCCAGCCCTGGTATAAAGGGTCACAAAGCATCTCCCATTGAGTTACACCAGGAAGGAATCTAGTCCATTGTTTTCTGCTCTGCTTTGGGTTTTTGCAATGGCTCTTCCTAAGACTAGACAAAAATACTGTAGTATGTGATTGCTGGATTTTCATTTTTTTTTTATTGTTACACTGTGAATTATCCATTGTAGACAGGCTTGCAGGAATGTGAGTATCTGCCTGGCATTCTCTTCCCAAAGGCCAGTATCAGACAATAGAGTGCACTGTTCTTTAGCACATAATAAAGTAAAATCATATTACACTGAGCAGAAAGTTACCTAAGATTTTGGAACATGCCCAGCCATCTCTCAGTGAAGTAACAACTGTGTTTGCTAGAGAGCTTGGGAGACCCAGCTGTAAGGAGGCCCTGTCTTTGTCACTATTTGGCTGAGTTTTCAATCTAGTTTGCCACCTTCAAGCTGCGCTGGGCTACTAGCTAACTGACAGGAGGGCTTTTCTAGAAATATTAATATCCTTCCTTCATTGTCCCCTGCTCCCGCTGCTGCTTCTACTGTCTCTCCCTGGAAAGGTCTTGCTGGGGATAAAGTTTCTTATGCGAGCATGGAACTGCTCTTTAGGGGATGAGCTGGAGTCAGGTTCAAAGAGGAGGGAAAAAGTTTCCTGAAGCTATTCCCAGTTCCACAGCACCACTGCCAATGCATTCATGGTGTTTGGCTTCAGGTAATAAAGCTCTGGGGGAGGGGAGGAGAGTTCCCTAGCAGATTAAAGCAGGAATTTTGATGCCCTAGGATCTGCATTCGGAAGGAGCCTTCAAGTGTGGGATGAAGGAGCGGTGGTGCTGTAAGGAGCTGCTCTCTGCGATGCAGGAGTTTCTTTATAACCCCTGTTGGCCTGGAAGCTGGCAATGCTAGACATATAGTGGCAAGTCAGACAATGTGTGTGCACAGCACTGCATTCAGTGATAAGGGCCCGCATGCCCCATCCGCAGGCATGGAGTGTGGATTGAGCATTTTACATGGATTTTCTTAGACAAAACAGGGCCATTTTCGATCACTGAAAATCAAATTTTACATTTTTAAACTGAAGAATTTTGGCGTTTCGATTGTTTGGATGAAAATGTGAAAAATGTTGGCCAATCGGGAAAAAAAATCATTTTTGTCAAAAGTGTCCACAGGGATGAGGACTCGAGAAGTGACGGGCTTCTAAAAGCTCACAGGGTAGAAAATTCCGTACATGGAAGGAAAGCAGAGATGATGAGGTGGGAGATGAAAGCGATGGGTTTTGTGCATCTCCAGAATGCTGGTGGATCTGTGCCTTATTTCATTTTAATCTGGCCCTGGGGACAAGGAAGGAAGACTCTAAAATCTCCTCTTTTAACCCAGTGGTGAACAAACTCCAAAAGGCCCGAAGGACAGTTTGGATCTGAATGAGCCCAGGATGAGTTTGAAGCCATTTGGGACTTGGGCTGCAAATACCATTGGGTCAGCTAAGGTGCCACAAGTATTCCTTTTCTTTTCACCTAGATACCATGCTTCAGTGAGCGGAACGGTATAAACACAATATGTTAGATAGCTGTCCTGTTTCTAACAGGGATAAATACATCACCCCATGCTGCCTCTCTTGGGTAATTTTACCATTTCTGTTTCCGTGAGTAACACCTGAAAGCAGTGAAAGACAAAATATACCTGTGGGACAGAATGAACAACTTTGAATCTCCAAAAAAAGATTAAAGTTGAGTCCATTCTTACTCTATTTGTACTAACTTGGCCAGAATCATAACCAGGATCATCCAAGAATCTCAAAGCACTTTACAAACATTAATTATTACTACTACTAATAATAGTAATAATAATACCAAGCTATTATGCACTGCCTTATATCCATTGGTGAGTTGAGTGTCATTACATTAGGCATGAAGCACCATTAAAATTAGGTTTCGCAACAGCCCTGTGTGGGAGAAAAGGTTATTACATTTTACACCATTTTACATCTGCCCACACTTCAACCCTAAGTGCCTTACCCAAAGTCACACACTCAGTCAATGGCAAAAGTGAAAACAGAAGCCAGGAATCCTGGCTTCCAGGTCCCCGCTCTCAGTTCTACAGGAAGGATGTTTTTGTGATTATGGCACTGGGCTGAGCTTCAGAAGATATAGGTTCTCAGCCACAGATTTACTGTGTGACCTTGGGAAAGTTAGATTTTCAAAAGTGCTCAGTTTTGGCCCAAATGTGCTCCCACTAAGTCAGTAAGACTTAGAGAAAAATACTGAGTGCTTTTGCCTTCAATATCTGAGCCTCAGTTTCCCCTCTGTGAACTTGGAGATAAAAGACTCACGTGAGGTAAATCCAATTGTATTTGTTAGGTGCACTGATGCTAGAGTGACAGGGGGCATAGAAGTAGGTCCATGAAGAGATCTGATCCCCATCCATTGGCACCATTTTTCAGTAGTGTCTAGTTAATTTCTGGCTACCACAGCCTTTAAAATGCTAGTGTCGGGTTTTTTTTTTTTTTTTTTCAGGTGTGGTCACATTTTTACCAGAGTGCATTTCTTGCATTTAGGCTTTGTTGGTTGTTGGCTTTTTTGGTTGTTTGTTTTTGCTGCCTTTGGCTTCTTTACCCTCTCTGTTTTGCACACAACTCCACATTACTGGCTTCCCCATTCCTCTGCTGGCAGCAGAGGGGAAAGGAAAGAAACTGACATTCCAGAAATTTTAGAGTTGGGGGAAAAAAGCCTTCTTCAAACAGCTGGTTTCCTGATTGGTTGGCACAGAAGCTCTGGTTGCCCATTTTAAGTCCTTGCTTATTTTTCTGCTCCTGTCTTGCTAGCAGAGAGCCTGGGGAGCCAGTTTTAGGCATGCAGGCCCAGGCTGTGTCATGACTAATGTTTAGTTAAAATGCAAGCTGTTAATGAAACAAGCTTTCTGCATGCACAGAAGGGAGAGTTTCCCCCCCGGCTGTCATTGAGCTGAGGCAGGTGTAGCCAATTTCAGAGATGACGAGTCAGGGGAAAGCAGATGCTGTTGTTGTTATATGGTAGAGCTTCAAAAAAGAACTAGGTAAGTTCATGGAGGCTAGGTCCATCAATGGCTATTAGCCAGGATGGGCAGGGATGGTGTAGCCTCTGGGCAACTGGGGATGGATGGATCACTTGATGATTCCCTGTTCTGTTCATTCCCTCTGGGGCATCTGGCATTGGCCACTGTCAGAAGACAGGATACTGGGCTAAAGGGACCTTTGGTCTGACCCAATGTGGCCATTCCTATGTTAAATACCAACCTAGACCATGATCTCGCTGCCACACACTCACTACGTGCATATAGAAAGAGGTGGTCTCGCCATCTCAATAGTCAAGACAGACAAGGAGTGGGCTGGAGGTATGGGGGAATTAAGGTTTCCAGGGCAACCTTAATTCTGACATTTTCTACCTTGTGAGTTCGAGGTGGGGGTTTGCAAAGGCACAAAGAAAAGTGAGGCACCAAGGCCCAGATCGTCAAAGTGAATTAGGCACCTAACTCCCATTGAAATAAATGGGAATTAGGCACCTGCATACCTTTGAGGATCCGAGGCGAAGATCCCGCTGACTTTCTATGAGAATTGAGTCCCCGATTGCTCTATCTGTCTTAGAAAACCAACCTCCTTGCCACTGCAAAATTAAAGGTCCTTTAGTGTATTTTCCTTGGATGGGATATTAGTAAAGACGGCCATTGCCACAGAGATAACAATCACTTTTTCCCCATCCCTAATATCTTGTGGGGGACTTTGGCCATTTTCTTCAATGTTTCCAATCTCTGATTAGACAGAAGGAAGGGGAATGGGTGGGAGGGGTGATACCATCAGGGAGAGCAACACTGACTTCTCCCAATGCAGCAGCTCAGCAGATAATTCACTTACCTTATTAATCTCAGGAGACCTCACACGGGCCCCTTCTGAGTCGCTGAACGCCCTATTGATGGCAAACTGGATTGCCAAGCCCGTCATGGTGCCCGTGGAGAGAGGCTTGATCTTGCGGACTGCTTGCAGCAGGCTGGCTTTGGTCCAGTGGGTCTTGAGGGAGAACTCATTCTTGACTGTGCTGGCATAATTGATCACCCCCACCCGAGTGGCATTGGGGCCCACATCTAGGGACTCGATGACCTGGGACAAGAATACTTTGACCTGCTCAAATTCATGGGGGCGCACACTCCGGGAGCTGTCTATGATGAACACCAGGTCGGAGGGTCTCGTCCTACACAGAGCACCTGCACGAGAAAAGTGGGAAGAGAAAGATGAAGAAATAAGGCTACAGAAAAACTAGTGAGGTTCAGGGATCAGAGCAGGATGCTGGGGACTCAAGACTTCCTGGTTCTTGTGGGGAGATAGGGTTCTACTGGGTTATGGCAGAGAACTGGGTGTCATTTGTAAAACCAATGGGATGATGATAAATACTTACTTATCTCATAGGGGCAAAGTGGGAACTAATTAATCAAAGTTTATAAAGTTTATACTTTTTAGAAAAGTATTTGTATTGGTTAAAAACATAACACCGTGTACAAATATGTGTACTTATAATGCACAGAGGTGATGAGATAATATTTGGCATTTGTGGGGCTGGATTCACCACTCCAGGTTTATGCAGTTATGCTGATGAAACTCAGTGCAGTCACACTGGAGTAAAACAGCAGAGGGGCAAACGAACTGTCTGAAGCACCTTGATCAGATGCCCTTCAAACGCTTTGCAAAAATTAATACATAAATTCCCACAACAAGTCTGTGCAATAGGTATTGTTATTGCCACTTCACAGACAGATAAACAGAGGCACACCTAGCCATTAAATAACTACCTCAAAGCTCCAGGGGGTCAGTAGAGGTGGAAATAGAACCCAGGAGTCCTGACTCATATAACCCCCTGGTTTAACCCTTAAAGCAGTGGTTCTCAACTAGGGGTACATGTATCCCTGGGGGTATACAGAGGTCTTCCAAGGGGTAGATCAACTCATCTAGAGATTTGCCTAGTTTTACAACAGACTACAGAAAAAGCCCTATCAAAGTCAGTACAAACTAAAATTTCATACAGCCAATGATTTGGTTCTACTGCTCTATATACTGTATACTGAAATGTAAGTACAATGTTTATAGTCCAGTTGATTTATTTTATAATTACATGGTAAAAATGAGAAAGTCAGCAATTTTTCAATAACAGTGTGCTGCGACACGTTTGTATGTTTATGTCTGATTGTGTAAGTAAGTAGTTTTTAGTCAGGTGTAACTTGGGGGTACGCAAGACAAATCAGACTCGTGAAAAGGGTACAGTAATCTGGAAAGGTTGAGAGCCACTGCATTAAATCACAATGGAAAACTTGTCTTATGAAAGGAGACTCAAGGAGCTTGGCTTGTTTAGCCTAACTAAAAGAAGGCTGAGGGGAGATATGATTGCTCTTTATAAATATATCAGAGGGATAAATACCAGAGAGGGAGAGGAATTATTTAAGCTCAGTACCAATGTGGACACAAGAACAAATGGATATAAACTGGCCACCAGGAAGTTTAGACTTGAAATTAGACGAAGGTTTCTAACCATCAGAGGAGTGAAGTTTTGGAATAGCCTTCCAAGGGAAGCAGTGGGGGCAAAAGATCTATCTGGCTTTAAGATTAAACTCGATAAGTTTATGGAGGAGATGGTATGATGGGATAACATGATTTTGGTAATTAATTGATCTTTATATATTCATGGTAAATAGGCGCCCAATGGCCTGTAATGGGATGTTAGATGGGGTGGGATCTGAGTTACTACAGAAAATTCCTTCCTGGGTATCTGGCTGGTGAATCTTGCCCATATGCTCAGGGTTTAGCTGATCGCCATATTTGGGGTCGGGAAGGAATTTTCCTCCAGGGCAGATTGGAAGAGGCCCTGGAGGTTTTTCGCCTTCCTCTGTAGCATGGGCCACGGATCACTTGCTGGAGGATTCTCTGCTCCTTGAAGTCTTTAAACCATGATTTGAGGACTTCAATAGCTCAGACATAGGTGAGAGGTTTTTTGCAGGAGTGGGTAGGTGAGATTCTGTGGCCTGCGTTGTGCAGGAGGTCGGACTAGATGATCATAATGGTCCCTTCTGACCTTAGTATCTATGAATCTATGAACTTTTCCTCTTGGCATCACATCACAAAGCACTGGTGATCATACTGTAAAGAATAAGGCTGCACTAGACAAGAGAATCAGTGTGAAAATGTAAAATAGATTGACCTAAGATGACATATTCCCCATGTAACTTCTATGTTCCCTTGGTAAGATCAATAATAAACATGATGGAGAAAACTATTGGTGGTCAAGATGCTCTGTCCTGCAGCTGGATGGAATTTCTCAAAATTGACCATTTTGATGACATTTTTCATCAAAATTTCAAACTGTGACCAAAAAAAATAAATAAATAAAAAGGGTTGATATTTTTATGAACATTTTCCCAAATTGCCCCATTTAGCCTGCCTCTGTGAGGTTCTGTTCTCATATTCTCTGTTAATATTTCATTTTCACACAGGAGGAGGATACAGGTTCTGCGATACAGGGGAAAAGTTCTGTCAGACAAGCTTTTTGACCAGCAAAAATTAAGACATAGATATTGGAGTTGGTCATCAGTGTGAAATGTAACTGAGCTTTCACGCTATTAGACAGATGAAAACAAATATCCTGCTATACGTCCATGAGGAGAGATCATCAGGTGGGTTTCCTGAAAGACTCTAGTGCTGAATGTGTCACTGGCTTCAGAATAATGTATCTCTAAACAACGCAATGTGCAGGAGGGATGCAAGGAGGAGTTAGTCAGTAGGACACACTGGTTTCCACTGAAAAGTAACCATTTACTGCCGGGGGGGTTGGTTTCACTTCACTGCCATATTTCATTGCAGGAAGTAGAAAACGTCTGTTTATAATCAAGCTTACATAGTGCTTTAATTCTTAGACCAAAAAAGAACTTTATGAAGTGTCATTATACCCATTTTATAGGTAGGGAAACTGAGGCCATGAGCTTTGCCCAAGGTCATGCAGTCTGTCCTTAGTGGATCAAGGAATGGACAATAAGTCTCCTGATTCCCACTCCAGTGCCCTAACCACCATTTGTTTTTTTTTTAATTGTTAACTGCTGCCAAGAAAGAAGTGTTGTACCAAAGCATTGAAGTGTGGGATAAGGACTGACTGAGCCAATAAAAGATTTTGGAATCAACTTTTTCACAAAGCGCTTTTGTATTTTTGTCCCAAATAACTTTTTTTTGTATCTCTTCTTATGAAATTAAAATGTATTTATGGGGAAATAAAGAGAGAGTATTGAAAAATCAAAAGCAAGTCTAGCTAATTGTGTCCAGCCCCAGAAGGCTCCCTAGTCTTAGGGCTTGTCAACACATGGAGCTATTCAGGAAGAGCTATTCCAAAACAATTAGTCTTGAATAACTCCACATATAGACACTTTCATTCTGGCATAAGTGCCTTTTTCCAAAATAGCTTAATTGATTTTGAAAGTGGATTAAATTAAACCAAAAACAACACTTTTATTTTGGAATAAGAATGGCCACATGTGGACTTATTCCAGAGTAGATACTCCACTTTAAATCCATTGTCTACCTTATTCTGTAATAACTTTTATAATAGTCAAGCCCTTATGGCAATGAAACAGAGTTTGCGGAAGCACCATGGTGCTGGTTTAATTAGAAGAAACAGAAAACTGTTGGTAACGCAGAATTAAAACATATTTATATTGCAAGCAGCATTCAATCATACTAGAAATATAGTGGATTGGATGAATGATCCATCTGTCATTTCCTGACTCTGGTAATATCTAGTACTGGATGGTTCAGGTGTAGAGATACCATCTCTTCACAAAGCTGATCAGTTGGACAGTCTGCAAAGACATTTCCTTTCTCTGCGTGGCTACCTTATGCTCTGCAGCATGTAGTCACATTACCCTGATCATTTTGTGATCTGCACAGGTATAAATGTTTTTAAATGTCCTAAAATCACTCAACCCTTTTACAAATCCAGCCCCAATATTTGTCTTGGCCACCTCCTGCAGCCATGAGTTCCACAGGTTGGCTGAACATTAATTGTTGTCTGTAACTTCATCCAGTCCCTACTGGATCAGTTAATGTACTGATTTCTTTACAATTTGTACAAATCTTTTTCACTATTAGCTTTTCCTTTTGAATTCAACACCTGTTCATTTATTATATATTATTTGTAATACCACAGTGTCTAAGAGCCCCCAACATGACCAGAACCTCACTGTTCTAGTTGCTTTAAAAACACCGAAGACGCCGACAGCCCCTGCCCCAAAGGCCAGAGACAAAAGGTGTAGACAGACAGACTGGGAGTACAAGGAAACAATGTGACAGTATTGTTCAGCATGATAGGCAGTGAACTCAGCACACTGGCTGCCTACCATTGTCAAGTATTTTGTAGCTGGGAAATGGGGATTTACAGACATTAAAATTAACCATCCTTCTTTAAGGATGCTCACAGGGTATCTCTTGAACAGCTTGCCTCTAAGGCAAATCCTGTCATCCCAATTCAGGCAAAATCTACCATTGACTTCAACAAACTGAAGGGAATTCACTGGAAGTTTGCTTGAAAAAGGACTACATTAAAACCTTAATAAGGACCAACCTCAAAACCAATCCATTCCACTTTACTCGGAAAGGTGAACCAGAGCTAGGAATGTCTGATCAATCCAGGCCAATTTGCTCCTTGAATTTCCCAAACAAAACCAGCTCTTTGAGGAACGCTTTGAGAGAAGAAGCGAGTTCTATTCAGGAGATAAAAAGGGCACAAGACATCTCCTTTAATGGCAGTGCCTCCTCCAGCTAAAAGGAACTGGACCTCATACTATGCTGAAGACACACTGAAGCAGCTTTCTGTTAACTGTGTCTGTGCCATGCATGCGGCTATTATTGCAAAGTAACGAAGCAAGCAGGAGAATGCAGCACAGACATCAGGATTTTGCTGCCTTGGTCAACTATTTGCAAAAGATTCTTTGCACAGTCCTGCAATCTGTTTGGTGTTGTTTTTCTCCCTTTATCCCCCCTGTGTTCACATCCGCCCGAGTGGAATGGCTTCGGGTGGTGAGAAGGTACCACAAACAAACTGACCTCTTCACTTACCTCTGGGCTGAGGGGGAGCCCCGTAAATACCGTGATCCTGGAAGAGAAGAAACGCAGAGAGCAAGAAGCCAGAGAAAATCCTGTCCATGATTGCTCAGAAGCTGGAGGCAGAGTGGCAGGCAAGAGTCTTGGGCAGAGGTATTAACATGCCACTCCTCAGAGGGGCAGCAGGCCAGCCTCTGACACTTGTGAAATACCTGGGGGGAGGGCAAGGTTGGAGGTGGGGAGGGAGGAAAAGAAGAAGAAAACTTTGAATGACACGAAGGGTCTCCTGGCTTTGCCCAGCCCCTGGGGCTTTCCACAAGGGGTTCATTGCTCGGCTAGGGATGGGAAGTAATAAAGGGGACCCGCAACTGCCCGGAATGTGGAGAATCTGAGACCTTGACAGTGGGGCCAGTGAAAGCAGGTTGGGGAAAGGGGTTAACCCGTCATTCGCGGGCTTTAATCTGCCTCGCCTGGTGTTTGCTGCACTAAGCCAATGGTCTGCGGTGTATGGGGCTAGCACCCTTCCTGAGACTGGAGGGGGTGGGAGCGGGGCAAGAACCAGGTCACACAAACCCTTAGATATCCAGCTCGGCACATGAAATGCAGACCTCAGGGTTTAGGAAACATCTGCCTTGTGGTGGGCCCCTCCCCCCCACTTCTTTTTATTAATCTGCAGGCAAAAATATCAATCTGCTAAAGTAGGAGTGAGGGAGCAGAGGGGAATGAAAGGACTGGAATCATAGCTCAGTGAGACACAGTCAAAGTAATGTGAAACAGAATGAGTTAACTTCAGGGGTAAATTGTTACATCCATTATAAAAATTGTACTCTTTAGGATACTGAAAATAGAGAAAAGAAAAGGAGTACTTGTGGCACATTAGAGACTAACCAATTTATTTGAGCATGAGCTTTCGTGAGCTACAGCTCACTTCATCGGATGCATACCGTGGAAACTGCAGCAGACTTTATATACACACAGAGAATATGAAACAATACCTCCTCCCACCCCACTGTCCTGCTGGTAATAGCTTATCTAAAGTGATCATCAAGTTGGGCCATTTCCAGCACAAATCCAGGTTTTCTCGCCCTCCACCCCCCCACACAAATTCACTCTCCTGCTGGTGATAGCCCATCCAAAGTGACAACTCTCCACACAATGTGCATGACAATCAAGTTGGGCCATTTCCTGCACAAATCCAGGTTCTCTCACCCCCCCACCCCCCTCCCCAAAACCACACACACAGTAAACCAGGAGATATTAACAGCAAAGGACAGATAGATAGATAGATTAGTAAAACTAAATAAATCGATAGATTAGAATAGTGTATGATTTATTGTTTTTAGCAGGTTCTGCCCAAACCTAGAAGAAGATGTAGTGACTGCCACAAGCAGCTGACAATCTAAACAGACAAATAAAACCTATGATGCGCTGAGTGAATAGGAATCAGATGTCTTCAGTATCCATAAAGCACTATGCAGATTTAGCGGGCTATGTTAATACATTAATAGTAAGTAGATGCATTCATCACAAAGTAACATAACAATGCTTCCATGTTAGTTGATAAATGCCTTTAGGCTGCAAGTGATCTGCCAATCTCATCTATCCAGCCATCCATTCACCACCTTAAGCATTCATTCATTTCACTGACACTGTATGATCCCCGAGCCTCAGCAAACCACCTTCAGATCCAGAGGATGCCAATTCCGCCATTATTATGCTGAGTAGCACTTTACTCCACAAGTGCCCCCCCCCACATGAAATCAATGGGCCATCACACAGAACAAGGCGCTACTCAAGTGAGTTGTGAGTAAGGAAAGCACAAGCTGGCCTTAGAAGAGCTGGCCAGAACATTTCAAAGCCATCAACATCTTGATGAGAAATGGATAAACTCACCAACAAAATTTTGCAGGAGGAAGCCTGGGCTCTGAGATCCTCCCATCTCGGCAGGTTTTAGCCCCAGCCTGAACATCTGCACTGCTATTTTTAGCCACATAGCACGATCCCCGTGAGCCCAAGTCAGTTGGCCCATGCTCCGAGACTTGCTGCTGTGGGCTTTTTATTTTCAGTGTAGCCATACCCTGGGGCCCCAAATCTACTGCTCTTGCTCATGGTGAGTGGCATCTTATTTCACAGGTAGCTCCACTGAGATAAATGAGGCTGACTCACAGAGGAATTGCTATTTAAGGTGAGCAAGATTGGGAGCATTTGGCTGCAGATTACCATAGGAAAACACACACACATATACATATGCGTGCACACACAAAGCTATATATAAGAGCTAGGTATTATTATAATAGCTACATTGGCACACATACACAAATATACATTCACACAAATGCATTTACACACTCATATATACATTCACACACATACACACAAACACATATACACACACTTGCAGATGCACACATATACCCCCACCCCCACATAACTACAGATAGTATCAGGGAACAAAATGGAATTAAAATACATGTGTTTTTTGCTTCCACCCCCATATATATATATATATATATATATATATGTAAAATATGGGTTTTTTTCCTTTCGCTCTGCTTGGCACACAAAGAACTATTGGTGCAGACGGTATTGCTGGCCATGAATGGGGATCATTCAGATCCCTCCATAAATGAAGTCTCTATGGCCGTTCTTGCCGAAGAAAATATAAGGTTTCTCTGTGTCATTTTTCTGCTAATTAGCAAAGAAAGATAAATACATTTCAGGTGATATTTTTCACTACGGAGGTTGGGGCACACACACAACATTAAAGCTTTGAAAACAGGGTAAGGGCAGAGGCATTTTGGATACCATACGTCTGCATTTATAGATCTTTAAAAGAAATGTTTATTTTTAAAATATGAACCATAATTTTTCCCTGGGCCTCAGAAAACTAAAACACTGGATCCAATTTTTCCAGAGGAAAATATGCATTTAGGGCTCTTCCAAGGCCACTCACAACACAAATAGATAAACCATTAAAGGATTAAGCTGGCCCCATTCTGTAGGGCAGCTATTGTAGGTTTCATGTTTCCAGAAGCATAGAAGATTGTTCTCTCTCTCCCTCACATACACATACACATACACATACACAACATACACATACACATACACATACACACTCCTCTTTACTGAAGAAGCACTTGTTTCAAATACTAGATCCGGCTCATTCCTTCTATGTCCAAGGAGCTTTGAATCAAGGTACTACATCAGGACCAACCCTGCCCTCTTTGAAGTCAACTGTTTAGAGGTAATGGCAAAGTTCATATGTGTTAACCCCTCTTTACCAAAGAAAGCAGAGTGTGAAGGTTGTGGGAAATGGCAAAGAGAAATACATTGCCCAGTGTCTCAGTCTTAGGGGTCCCTGTAGATCTTACTCAAGAGTTCAGTTCAGGAGCAAAGTTCAGTGTCAAGTTCCTCAAGCAACCAGGCAAGAGGGGATCAGCAACTTTGATACATGTTTCTAACCTCTACCCTGGGCTCCTTGGAGAAGGGACAAAAGCAGAAGCAATGAGCTGGGCACATGGTGACATGGCCCCTTTACATCTCCTGCATAAAGTTTTCTACAGAGAGGCCAATATCTCTGTTCCAAAGAGATCTCAAGCTGTATTTGCCTAAAGACACTAACGTTGCAGCTGACCCATGGGAAATCCTGGTCACACCACACAATTTACCTGTGACGTCAGCCTCCATTGTCCACTTGTTAAATTTTGCAACAAGCATATTCGTGCTTTCTCCCCTGCTGCCCCTCACGCTTGGGGGGGGAGCTCCCCATAAACATCTGCAAAGCCACCTCATTCTCCACCTTCCAGTCCCTCCCTAAAACTCTCCGATGCTGCGATGCCTGCAAAAATCTTGTCAACAGTTAGGCCTGTGGCGTGCTGAGACAACAGCTTATCATGCGGACTCTCATTGTTGCCTTCTACTTCACTGCTTGTTTCCATCTGTTGTTTCTTCCCCTATACTTAGATGGTCAGCTCTCTTGGGCAGGGACTGTCTTTTTGTTCTGTGCTTAAACAGCGCCTAGTGCAGTGTGGTCCTGGTCCATGGCTAAGACTCCTAGGTGCTGTGGTAATGAAAGTAATAATAATCATGAAAAGTTCCTAGTAAGGCTGTGGAACCCAGGCATGTCCATAGCTAGCAATCCCACCCTCTGCATAATCATTGTCATGATTTCTTCTCACAAGTGAATGGGAGACTGAATTAGAATGAACTTCACAGGGGCAGCGTGGCTCAAAGCATAGGGCATTAGCTGCGGGGGGGGGGGGGGCGGTCGAGAAACCTGGATTTTATTCAGTCATTCATTGCCTCAGTTTCCCCATCTGTGCCATGGGAATAACAATACTTCCCCTTCCTTTGTAAAGCACATGGAGATCTGTGGATGGAAAAAGCTGCACAAGAGCTTTGTAAGTATGATCATTATTAGTTCATTTACACAGTTCTGTTTCTGATTTGCTCCTGTTTCCTTCAGTCATCAAGTTCCCTTGAGACGTGCCAATGAATCCAGTTTCTCCAGTCATCTAAATCTGCCAGGCTGTAGTTTGAACCAACTGCCTCTTGTCCTGCCCTCTGTGGCAAGAGAGGACAAATTTTCTCCATCTTTTTTATGAAAGCCTTTCAAGTATTTGAAGACTGCTATCTTGTCCCCTTTTAATCTCCTCTATTCCAAATTAAACATACCCAGTTCCTTCAGCCTTTGCTCATATCTGACTTGCATTCCACCTCTTTGATCATCTTTGTCCCTCACCTCTGGATCCTTTCCAGTTTCTCTATATCCTTTCTATACATTGGTGACCAAAACTGGACACAGTCCTCCAGCTGAGGCCTAACCAGCGCCGAGTGGTACTATCACTTCCTCTGACTTTCATGCAATGCCTTTGCTTTTTTGCAGCAGCAGCATCGCATTGCTGACTCATGTTGAGGTTGTAATCCAAAGCTCCCAGATCCTTCTCAGCAGTGCTGCTGCCAAGCCAGTTTCCCCCCCCCCCCATTCTGTATTTGTGCATTTGGATTTTCTTCCCTAAGTATAGCACCTTACATTTGTCTTTGCTGAATTTCATTTTGTTGTCTATAGCCCAGTTTTCCAATTTATCAATATCCATCTGAATTTTAGCTCTATACTCCAAAGTGTTGGCAATCCCCACTTCCGCACAGCTTTGTGTCATTTGCAAACTTGATCAG